ACAAAAGTAGTAAACGAAATGAAAGATTTTAAAAGTAATGAGATCATCAAAAAATAGTCTAATTTGTTGCTACATGGAAGATTTTTTATTTACAAAAAATAATGGAATGATAACATATCTTTGTAAAATATCTAAGTAAATAAAAAATTTCGCCAAACGAAAATAAAGATTTACAAAGTAATGAGATCAACAAAAAATAGTCAATTTTTTAAAGATCATCCTGAATCTATATTACAATTGTTTACAATTGTTGAAATACTTAAATAAGGTAAATATTTTATTACAGAGCAAAACATGTCAATATTTTGCAAAATTCTTAAACCTGTATAACTTGCCGGGCTGGCTTTATACTGTTTTTTGGCGAACAATTGCAAGTAAATTTGGAAAAAGAATATATATTATACATGATTACGTGAAATTAATCAGAAACCGATTTGCATGCTTATTCATTCCCTTAGCTATTTTAGTACAAATAATTTCTACAGCCTTCAAATATTTTTTATGTCTGTCCGAAGACTTTATGCTTTATTATTTATTTTTTTCCGAAACAAATATTTCAAGTATTACAGCTTCCACAATCCACCAATTTATGAACTTCTTCAGAAAGTAAACGGGAATTTTTACAATTTGTATTATACGTCCAAAACAGTATAAAGTCAGCCCGGCAAGTTATACAGGTTTAAGAATTTTGCAAAATATTGACATGTTTGGCTCTGTAATAAAATATTTACCTTATTTAAGTATTTCAACAATTGTAAACAATTGTAATATAGATTCAGGGTGATCTTTAAAAAATTGACTATTTTTTGTTGATCTCGTTACTTTTCCAATCTCTCGTTTTTTATTGAAAGAGGCACTTGGTATTATTATAGTTTGCTATTAATATAAATACTGTATTACATACCACTATATCACGTTATTGTTGGAGTCATGATTCTTTTTTCGATATGTACGAAACACATCAAACTCGCCTAACATTTTACTTTAAAACAAAGTTAGTTTTTTTATGGGGATCGAATTTACACCAGTTTTGATCTGCAACGCTATACATTATATATCATACTGTAATTTACATGCACATAAATATAATACGTAACATTTTGCATCCATACGTAGAATGATCATAATTATTATTTAGGCAAATCAAGTGTGGTAATAAAAAATTGAAGACGTTCAAAAGGAGCTAGGCTTATTTTGACATTTTAGTTGGTTTACCTACTACGTCGATGCATATGGTAATAGATTCAGCTGATCTGTAACACATGGTAACTGTTTCCTACAGCACCGACCCACATGGTAACGACAGTTTCTGCTTCGGTACACTACCTCCAACGCTAACGCCACCTGCCTTATGGGGTACCTAACTAAATTTATGTGCCTCAAAAGTTGGAAACAAAAAAAGGCCTGCCCTGGCCTTCTATACTTAAAGAGATATATTCAATATTCTCTGGCCATACCTCATCTGAGGTGCAATCACTTCTAGAAAAATACTGCATACACATACCCTCCTTAAACTTAACTTTTTTACGACTTTTCCGTTTCGTATCACTTTTTTACGACTCTTCCGTTTCGTGTCACTTTTTTCCTGAAACAAAGAGATAAATAAATAGAGATTTTTCACATACTTATAATTTGTACATAAAATAAACAGCGATAACCAAGTATAACAATTATATTATACCTTGTCACTATGTTTTTGTTAGCTTCATTAGTTGTGGACATTTTTAGCGATGCCGTGGGTTGACTAGATATTGGTGTCGTACAATTATTTATGTTAGTCACAGTTGTAGTACTCTCTACGGGAATTCTACTTTAAGTTGTCTTTGCGAAGTCAGGATTTTTTGCAGTAAAGTACAAAATTAAGATCAATTCCATTATTATGTTCGATTAGCTATTTGAGTTTTATCAACTTTACTAGCAGTTTCAAAAAAATTCTGAAAATCTTTAGTAGAAAATTCTAGCGTTAGAGATTCCTCAAGCTCATTTGTAATGAAATAGTGCTGTACATTTTCTCTACACACACCAACAAATGCATTTTTACAGCTTAGCAATAAACTATTGCTAATAAGTTTGGTACAGCTTCTATGTGTAGTTAGAGTTTTGGAATTTTTCTTGTTGTAGAATAAATGTTTTTCAAAATAATCACTGCCAACATAACTTTTACTATAATTAGGTAGACTTGATAACTGCAGACTTTTTAGCCATTTGTCGCAAGATTTAGCGTTTAAAGAAAATTGAAAAAAAATTAAAGTAAATTGATATATGGGGAGATTCGTCTCAACTGCCCCAGTGCCACCGCAAGCGGCTCGTTCGAGTGCTAAACACAACATTTTGACTGCGTTGTTTCGGCATCAAAACATAAATAAAAAAATTTCAACTACATACATTCTGAAGCGTCTTTACCTCAGTTTTCGAATGGTATTATTTATTTTGACGGTTTTTCCTTACATAACCTTGGAAAATATAAATTAAAATTGAAAACGTGTTTTCGGCATGATCTTTAAATTTTGAATTTTTTTGGACCACACGGATCGAAAGATCAGGTGTTTTTTACTTCGATATAGATTATAAAAAATTAGATGTTTTTCGTTTTATGTGAATAATTAAGTACGAAGCAAAACGATATTCGCACGCCGCTTGCGCCAGCCGGGAGTCATGACGCCGCCGCTCGCGTCGGCTGTCGGTCTTTCTGTCTTCCTGAATAACAACAATAATTAGAAACGTAGTGTCTATTCGCACCAAAACGCACCGTATATCCACGTAATTACGTGGATATAGTGGATACGCATGCGCAGTGGGTAACTCTACTGTCCGGTTTGAAAATTTGACGGGCTGTAAATAAAATTAGTTTTTTAGTAAGATTGTGACTAGATCGAAAGATTTTCATTATTAGTTTTGCATAACAATGAAGTAAATTAAATAAGATTATAAATTTGAGGCTATCCAACGTATTATTTCTTTGTTTTCGTTTTTTTATTGTTCATTGATGCATCATTTTTTAATTGTTTTTTTTTTGCTTTAACTTCGAAACAATATTAAACGTCTTGCTTAAAGATCTTTTTTTCAAAATCAATCTATTCTCTTCTGTAGGAATAATAGCGTGATACGAATGAGTTCCCGGAACCATTTTAGCACTCGAAATACGTTCCTTCAGTTTTTCATAAACTTAGTCGTAGTCACTTTTGGAACAGAAGAATACTTGAGTCTCCTTGCAACTCGCTTCTGCCCAATAAAAAAGGGCTTCTGCTGTTTAAATGTGCTTATCAGAAGACAGCTGCAAACTCGTTTTCTTTGATCCACGCTTTAAATTCGATCTAATACTATTACACGCTCCTTTTCCATGGGCAGTGGCATGAAAATGCCACTCTGCAGTGATTCCAAAGTCCTTTTTGTGGTTTGCAAGGAGGTGAAAATTAGTTTTGTTCTTAAAATGTTGGGCTGCGCCGTCACTCACGTAATAAACTTTTTGGAATGAATTTTTTTTTCAGATAATTAATAAGTATCGTTTGATATTGGTATACTGCTACTGTGTCGTGTGTGAGATTGTCAGATATAACAGCTAAGCTTTTTGTGTTTTAAAGCATTATTCGCACGATACTAAATAATAACAGTAAAAACTGTAGCCTGGTTATTATCCCAGTGATATGACTGAGCTGCATTTTGAAGTACACACACATAGTTTTTAGCGAAATCAAATGAAACCATAAACTCACCGTCATTCAATTTATTTTTTAATTGTTTAATGTAAACAGACTAGTTTCTTGCGAAAAAATGGTGAGACTTTAATTTCATCAATTTATTGCCTAATTTATCTAAATATTCGTGAATTGGAACAGTATGTGATGCAATTGTACATCGATCTGTTTGTTTCCACGTTTCATACTTCACTTCACGAATTCCATTTGCCAACAACAATTTTCTTAACAATTCCTTTAAACTTCCTGTGTTAGGGTAATCCAAATAATCATTCAAAAAACATTTTTCTATAGAGCTTTGGCATACTATTGCTTTGATATAATGCTTGTAATCTTTCATAGGTGTTGCATGATTTTTGGTGAGCTTTTCTAAAATTGGCTGTAGCAATAACTTCTCATTTTCATGCTAAACGCAAACGCACACGTTATGCGTTCTACTGCTACTTGCTAAAACACAGTGTTTTGGTCGAAGTTGCGTGAATTTTGTGTAACCTATTTTCATGTTTTCATTATCTTTTTTGAATAAAATATGTAACTCGTTTAAATTTACCAACAATAGTCGCTTTTGAACCCTTTTTTGATCTCCATTATCATCTTTTACTGAAATGTGATCATTCATACCGGGTATAGCACGACTTACATTGTCTTCTTCGTAAAATTCTCTTACTCTTTGCTCTATATCTTCGGACATCGATTTGCCTTCTTTCTTATCAGGCCAAGAAAGAATTCCATGCTTCTCAACAAGATCAAGAGCAACTCTAGCTTCACGCTCTGTACACCCATACTCATTCATCATATCTCGTCTATTCCAAAACCTCGGGGTAAGGGTGAGTAGTAGTATTCTTTCTCGCTTATCACTGGACGATTTAAATTTTTGAACAATTTGCTTCAAGACGGCTACTTCTGCTTTTGCGTGCTTTTCGTTACGTTTTTTGCGTTCTTTCTTAATCGTAAGTAATTCAATTTTACATTGGATACGCATCATCGCGTCTTTCGGTATTATCGAAAAAGCAGCTTGCAGGAATTGTACACATTTGACAAGACCTTTGTTTACAAAGTGATTATCTTTCATCAAAGGGTTACAGCAGTTGACCATCGTGATTCAATCGAATTAATGTATTAGCTAACTGTAATGACCACATAAAAAAAAAACTTAAAATGATTCAGATTGTTGGTAATGTGATGAATATTATTACCTGCAGGACGTGAAGAAACAACTTAATTAATGATAAGTATGTCTGTATTGTATATCTGAATTTTAAAGTCAAAAGTTAGCTTTGTGGCATGAACAGTTCAGACAGTAACGGTAACTAATGATATCATCGAGCGAATTTCATCTGACAAGTACAAACACAAAGTGGGGTTATGCACATTGTTTACAATTTGACCATTCGTTTTGCAGAAGACGTAATTACGTAGATATACGGTGCGTTTTGGTGCGAATAGACACTACGTTTCTAATTACTGTTGTTATTCTGAAAGACAGAAAGACCGACAGCCGACGCGTGCGGCGGCGTCGTGACTCCCGACTGGCGCGCGCGGCGTACGAATATCGTTTTGCTTCACATTTAATTATTCACGAAAAACGAAAAACACCTATTTTTTTATAATCTATATCGAAGTAAAAAACCCCTGATCTTTCGATCCGTGTGGTCCAAAAAAATTCAAAAATTGAAAATCATGCCGAAAACACGTTTTCAATTTTAATTTATATTTTCCAAGGTTATGTAAGGAAAAACCGTCAAAATAAATAATACCATTCGAAAACTGAGGTAAAGACGCTTCAGAATGTATGTAGTTGAAATTTTTTTATTTATGTTTTGATGCCGAAACAACGCAGTCAAAATGTTGTGTTTAGCACTCGAACGAGCCGCTTGCGGTGGCACTGGGGCAGTTGAGACGAATCTCCCTATATGTGTGATATAGTTCTAAACAAACACGTAACAGTCAAGGTACACATTTTTATTTTTGACAAAGTTGTTTGACTGATTAATACTTTTCTTTTCTTAAACAATTCTACCCTGCGGTTACTTTTGAGTCTATTTCAGAAATTTTTTTTAATTATTTTATAGACATACTGATAAAAATACTCAAGAAACTTTTCCGAACAAAACTTAACCTGATATGTTTTTATTTACATGCGTGTTACTTACTTAAAAGCTACGACCACAAATAGGAAAATACAGCAATCTGCTTATCAAACCCCTTTTTATTTTATTTACTTTGAATTTTTATTTTATAATGTAAAATGAAATAATAACGCTGAGTTGTGCATGTACTTCCATATTTTGATGACAGCAGACGCTGCGGACAAGATGCGTACATAGCCCTGTGTGTACCAATATACATTTTCTGTTGATAGAATATACATACACTTATTAGACAAGGACACGGGGACTCGCTGGCAGCGATATCTCTGTTTGCGCATATCGCAAGATTTGGCTTCTGGCGTGCTCCATTCTAATATCTCTATGGTCAAGACAGCACGTAGAAAGGACACTGATAGCGCCTAATGATTTAACAACATATTACAGCAATCAACTTAGCTATCATAAAAGTCAAGCTAACAAATTAAAATTTCTTAAAGTCGTATAATTATGGCGCACACATGTAATCAGGAAAAATAAGTTAAGACTAGAACACAAACTTAATATATCTTAGAGGGAGCATAGACATTAAAAAAATCCAATGCTAGGGATGTAAAAGTTATGTGTGAAAATTGTGTAAAACTAAACTATAGTCAGTGTAGAGTATTAAAAAATGATTCAAATATAATAACGTACAAATGAGAACTATGATTTAATTTGTATTTTATTTTTAATTTAAAATAATAAATTCTTGTAAAAATTGTTAAGTTTTTGTGTTTCTAATTATATATTAATGTTATTATTCGTTAATGTTGTAAAAGTCATTTCAGAGAATTGGTGCTTGTATTTATTAGGTTTTTGATCAAAAATCACTACTCTCTCAAAATCTTATGAAGGTACATAAAGATGGTTTTCCAACCAGATTAACTGTGTCGTCAATAGGTTACCCCTTTTATTAACTTGATGGTTTTTGACACTTTTTGGGAAATTCTTAAACAAATCTAAATATTATGTTCAAAATTCTAATAGAGTGTGAGGAAAAATTAGAAAATTAATTTATTTGGATAATTATTCTTTTGTTTCCTTTGATGTAGTATCTCTATACACTAATCTTTTTTTTTTGCTTAATTAAAAGTTACGTTTCACGTAAAAATGACAATTTTATTGGCCTCTGAGATATTGACAGAACAAAGTTTTAGATGGAGTTGACTTTTTCATCAAATTTCTCTTTTGATGGCGACGTTTACAGGCAATGCTGTGGAATTCCAATAGAAGGTTGTTGCTCTCCCTGGTTTGGAGAAGTCAATTTAGAATCCTTGGAGGGTTGAGTCTTGAATGGATGCCGGGATTCTGTCTTACTGTACTTGAGATATGTTGATGATTGTCTAAAACTGATCATATAAATAATGCTCTGAACCTTTTCAACAGTTCCAACACATTTATGCAGTTTACAGTTGAATATAAGAATAATAATTCGATTCCCTTTGTAGATTTAAAATTACACGTTCTCTAAATTCTATTACCACAATAAATTTACATAAAAAAATCCTCAGCCTCAGGTAGATTATTTAACTTTCTTTCACATAACCCAAAAATGCCAGAAGATCGCTATTATTTTATCTTTGATTAACAAAGCTTTTAAGCTTGCAGGTCTATCTTTTGAATCTAAAAATATTGTAGTAGCTCGTAAGATTCTTGCCCATGATGCTTATCCTCCATCCTCTATTAACAGATACATAAGAGCTGTAATTAGTTCCCTCAACAGACGGAAAAAAGGTTCCCAGGAATATCGCATTCTAAACCCTCAGGAATGCGATGCAAATGTTGATTCTCGTTCCTTGAATCTGTTAGTTCTGAACAAAAATGTATTTCTTGTTGTTCCCTATTTCCGACCTATGGAGACGACTCTTCGTAGGGCCTTGTCCAAATACAATATTCGTGTTATTTACACAGGCTCTGGAAGATTGACTCACATCATTAGGTTGGAAGAGAACTCAATAAATAAGTTGGATATGAGTGGAATTGTCTAAAAGATTTCATGTAGGTGCGAATTATGTTACATTGGCTAAAGTAAGAGACACTTACCTGTGCGTTTGCCTGACCATGATCGTTATATTAAAAACAGGGCCGAAAGGTCAGCTTTGTATTCGCTACGTGCACAAGCTGAAAAAGCGATCGCAGCAATACCTGTGCTAATATGTGAAACTAAACGATAGGTTTGTCTTCTGCTAGCAGACTGCTAAGCATTACTATCATCAGAAAGTTATGTGTTTATACATCGACAACCATTCTAAGGGTTAAATTTTTAATAAAATTATGAGTAGTATGTACATATTTTACTCAGGCATGTTCATTAAAAAACGCAGTGAAATACATTGGATACTGTGTATTTCTTAGAGTTTTTAGCTGGGACCTGATCCTCTAAGCGTATCGTATGAACGTGTGTACATACTGTGTGAACACGCTGGTATAGGGCTAACGGAGCTCTCCGCATGGTCAGAGGAGGTCTGTGTTGACTACATTGCAAACTAGTAAAACATATCTCGTATCACACAGTACACGGACTTGTGTTGAAGTAATACTCAAGCGCTTATAGTGCTTGTAGTACAAATTTTGTCTTTAGTTATTCACATAGGATTGTACCACTTGAGACATTGTATTAATATTTGACAATATAGTAAGTCTTATGAAACAATGTTGTAAATTTTTATTGGTAAATATAAAGTTCTTGGGGCGTTAATTTAATACTTTTTAATAACATTATATAACTATGGTTATAAAATGATAAAAACCGTGAAAATTACGCCTTATAAATATGACTAACTTCTGCGAGCTATATTGGTGATTTTTGATCAAGAACCTCATAAATACAAGCGCAAATTTTCCGAAATTATTTTTATAACATCAACGAATAATAACATTAGTAGACAATTAAATACACAAAAAATAGGCAATTTTTACAAAAATGTTTAATTAAAAATTAAAAATGAAATAAAAATTTAATCATAGTTTACATTTGAACGTTATTATATTTAAAACACTATGATATATTCTATGATATATTGACTGTAGATTTTTTTACAGAATTTTCATACGTCTCTTTTACATCCCTGGTATTGGGTCTTTTTCAATGTCCGCTGATCCCTCCAAGAAACATTTATTTTGTGTTCTAGCTTTAACTTATTTTTCCTCGTTACATGTGTGTGCCATATTTATATGCCTTTGAGACGTTTTAATTTGTAAACTTTACTTTTATAATGGCTAGGTAAATTGCTGTAATATGTTAATCGATTATCCTATAATATATCAACTGATTGTTCTTTTAGTTGGATTCTTGCAAAGTTTCATTTATGTACAATTATGGTTTTTTTCAAATTTCAAAGAGGCCGTCAGCATAATGGCAAAATATTCATCTTGTGTATTAATGATTACCTACATAAGTAGTCATATTCCAAAATACTAAGTTTTAGACCTAATTATTATTTATGATAACAAAAGAGCAAGTGAAAGAACTTCATAGATAAATATTAAAAAATATATTGTCAGTGGTCCCGAAGGTTTTGGAAAAATATTTTTGTTTGAAACATTAATTTTTTCTTTGCTTATTGTCAAAGAAAAAAAAAATTTTATCTAGGGTTTGGATGGGAAATTCTTTAATTTTATTACCCAAAAGGATGACAAGTCATAGAACATTTTAATTACCATTAGATTTAAATAATATTAAAAGTTTTATTTATAGAATTCAAAACTAATATAAAAAATTTACGAGAAGTAAATGTGATTATTTGGATCGAAGCTTTAATAATTCCTAAAAAAGCTTCGAAAATAGTGGATAAAATATTAAACGATTAACGTAATAATAATTTTTTATTCGGAGAAAAACTATTTTTTCACCGAGTAATACATCCAATAATAAAGCAAAAGTGTAAAAGTTCTTTTTATTGCATTGAAAATATTTTAAAATTTTGAAATTGAAAAATAATATGCGGCGTACAGATTTACAATTTTCATGATTGTTAATGAACATTGGGAAAGGAAAATATAAAGTCTCTTGAAATTTTTCAGAGATGAAAAACTGATAAAATTTATAGCCAACCATATGAAGATGGTATAAATAGCTACCTAAACGAAATAATTGTAACAAATTATTAGAAACTTTCGTATATTTTAAATTTCAAATAACAAAATTTTTTAATACTTATTACAGCATAGATTATGCAAAA